TTGGGCTACATGGTAAGTCTCAGATGAGTCTGAGCTACATAGTAAGGCCCTATCTGAAAGCAGAAATGAAATAACAGTGTTTATAATACTGAATATTGTGATGTGTTTTGTAGTTTACTCCAAGATGTCTTGTGTTCTTTGCACCTGGCATTTTGTTGTTGCTCAGATATTTCAGTCTCCATCATTTTCTGTCTGCTTGATTTACAAATGCGTAAGACAAGACAGCAGAGATAGCTACTCCTCCCCTGCCATGTAGAGTCACCCAGTTTGTTTGCTGAAATCATTTAATTTGAAAGTATGTTGTTAGGTGTATTTGAGTTCAGCAGTTTTACATCTTTTGAGAGTTTTTTTTTTTTGTCATCATATAACAACTGTCATTTTCTTTTATTATTTATCTTCATTTTATGTATAAGGGTGTTTGTCTACATGTATACTACATACTACATGTGTGCAGTGCCTTTGGAGGCCAGAAAAGGTTGTGGGATCCCCTGGACCTGGAGTTGCAGACAGTTGTTTGCCACCATGTGGGTTCTAGGAACTGAACCCAGGTCCTGTGCAAGAGTAGCAATTGCTCTTAACTACTGAGCCACCTCTCCAGCCCTGTCTCTAGTCTTTTTTTACCTTGTTAGTTTATCTGGTAGCCTAGCTACACTAATTTTGATTGAGTTAGTGTGTAATTAAAATAACTTTCTGTTTTCAGCTTTCCGTTGCCTTTTTTGGTCAGTTTCTTTTGTATGTGATTGGATCTTAATCTGATAATCAGTGTCTTCATCTTTGAACTTAGTTTACCATCTGTTGACTTTATTATTACTAATTTATTTGTATAACAAACACTAATCTGTCCTAGAATATGAGATGATGCACAATATTCCTAATAAAATTTATGACTTTTTTCTCATTTTATTTGCAAACTTAAATGTATGTACCAAAAGTAACCGAGGTTGGGTTAATGGAGCTCTGTGCATTTGAGGCCAACTTGGTCTGCATATTGAGTTCCAGGCATATCCAGGGCTACCACAGTGAGACCTTCTCTCAAAAAAAAAAAAAAAAAAAAAAGAAAAAGAAAAAAAGTAGCTGAGGTGCTAGAAAATGGCTCAGTTGGTAAAGTACCTCAAGCATGAGGACCTGAGTTCAATCCCCAGTGTTCATGTAAACACTCAGGCATGATGGTCTGCCTCTATAACCCCAACTCTGGGATCTGGAGATAAATGGATCCCTGGTGCTCATTGGCCAGCCAGTCTAACCTCATCAAATTGTATAGATAATATATTAAAAAATAATGTTGCTTTTTCCCCCTTACCTCACATAGTAACTTTATTTTAATTCGTCATAAGAATTTGATACCATATTCATCATTTGAATCACTTTTCAAAGGAATTGTTTTTTAAGCCTATTACTTTGATTTCTGTCTCATCACTTGGGATCTATTACTTTTATTTGTTCGAGGGGTTTCTTTTGTTTGTTTTTTGAGACAGTGTCTTCCCTGTAGCCCCAGCTGGCCTATATTTAACTATGTAGACCAGGCTGGCCTCCGTCTCACAGAGATTTACCTGCTTCTGCCTCCCAGTTGCTAGGATTGAAGGTGTGTGTACCACCATGCTCAGTGAGATCCATTACTTTTTAAACATGTGGATTGCTGTCCTCCAGCATTTCGCCTGTGTCTTAGATATCTGCTCACTATATATCATTCCTACACTTACTTGTTCCCCAATAGTAATTTTTTTGTTGTGATCCAAAAAGGATTGTTTACTTGTTTGTACAGTACCTACGTTGTGAAGCCCACTGCTGGCAATGTGGGAATGTGCGCTGTAGTTACTTGTTTTATTTTACCTCTCTGTTTTTAAAAAAGAAGGAAATTATTTCTTCAAATTCTTAAGGTAGCATTGCTAGAGGTGGTTCTGGTAGTAAGAGTGGGTCAGTGGCTTACAGAACCCAAAATTCCGTGACTCCACAGGAGCTGCTGTGCTGTTCATAAGTCATCTTGAGAAAGGGTAGCAGGTGAATGGGTAGAGGAGAGACCCCTTTCTTTGTCAACTTAAGGCCGCACTGGCCACAACTTGTTGCAAAAACAGCTAGAATATGTGGCCTCCTGTTATAGGTAGCAGAGTAGTCACGACAGTACACATCAGTTGGCATCTGTTGAGCTCTGCTGTATAAGTACTGTGCATAAACATAGGAGTGCAACTGAAGGCATGTCTAGTGAGACCGAAAGTTCACCAATATGGCTACTCCCAGTTACTCGGGTACCAGCATGACCCTGTGGATGCTATTTCTGTCTGCTGTCATCTGTTCCGAATACCTTATTATTTTTTTCCCCTTGCCTTTTGTCTGCTTAGTTTTCTCGATTACACTTCCTTCTGTGCCTCTCATCTCTTCATGCTTGATGTATTTCCTGTGCCCGTATTTTAGTCAGTAGTTCTTAATGAGCAGTGCAGAGACTTACTAGATTCCTTCCACCTTAGTCATGCCCCATCTCTTCCCTACCTGTTTCACATGCCCCAGGATTGTTAATGTTGAGAATCACCACCGTCTTATCTATTTACTAGTTCCTTTGCTTATCTTTGGCTGTATATTGCTTTATCTACCCAACTTCTTCAGGCTTAAAGTGTCTTTTTCCTAAAATATGTCCTCTGCTATATCCTCCAGTGGGGACTGAGGAAGATTCTCTCTGTATCATACTGTGTTTTTCTTATACCTCCTTGAATGTCAGCTGGTTAGTGGGGTCCCAGGTGGGTAGTGATTTGTCTTGCAGCTCTTGGAAAAGTCTTCCCTTGTGTTGTGGCAAGACTAGCCAGTGAATGTGTCACCCAAATTTTGTCTTCTCTGTTGGCTTTTAGAAGTCTTCTCCATCTGTAAAATTCTTTGTTCTTACTCACCCTGCTTTGTGCCTATTTTTCCTTTTCAGCCTGATTCTTACTCTGTGAATTTTGAGAACTTTCTACTGTTGCCTATCTGAACACTCTTGGTCTGTTTTGTTTTGGGTTTTTTTCTTTAGTCTTTCCTTTGGAACTCCTGTTCTAGAACTTGTAACTTTTTCCTGCTTCCATGTCCAGCGTGTGCTCTTCTCTATTTTTTGCATCTCATCATTTTCTCAATTCTTTCACTTTCCTACCTTGTCTGAACAGATACGTAATTTTTCTCTTGGATTCTTTGTTTTACTGATTCTTAGTTTTTATTGAGTTGTAGAAGTTATGTTTGGCTATTTTATACATCTGCTTGCCTTTGTTTACCATGCCTCAACCTTGGCTTTGGCCCTTCATGCTTCCTCCTTCTGGTATCTCGAGTTCTGAGTTGCTGGTCCACTGCTCCTGTGTGGCCTGCTGATTCCTGGTGGGGGCTTGTGGTTTTGATTAGGAAATATTTTCTTTTCCTCTTCTGAATCCTTGGGAGGGTTGATTGTAGAGTTGTTTTTCTACATGTTTTGTTTTAGGTCCCAGGATTCCTGCCTAGAGTTACCTGACTTGCTCCTGTTAGCTGGCATGGAGAATAGGTGGGAAACTCCAATTCACACTGGAAACTGTTTTCCTTCCCTCTTCTCGGTACAGGATAGAACAAGTTTCCCTGCTTCAGATCACACTGCCAGCCAGCAAATCACAGACTGATGTTGAAGGCATAAAAAAGAGGGGAAATATTTAGCACATTTTATGGACCTTGCACGTCAAATAGACACTTACCTTGAAAGACACATTCTTTCCCACCCTTTGTCAATGATGAAACTGATCACTGAAGCCAGGGGATGTGCCCAAGCATCCAGTGCTCTCAGGAGCTGTGATGTAAGTGATGTCTGTCTCAAAGCTCTGTGAGACATTTGTTTTTCACTTCTGACTGAAACTGAGTCTTCATTCATTTTGTATGTTAGTGTTAATATGCTTTTGTGAATTTATTTCAAGTCTTCTCTATTTTCTTTCCTTGGCTTTCCAGAATCTTGTGCTTCTTTCCTTGTGAATTATCAGTTCTATTGGAAAATAGACAAATGTAACTGAAACCACAGTTTCATGGTGCAGTCCTGTCCCTCACCTGGGTGATGGTTTATATATCTTCTACACTGTTCTGCCCTGTCATGCTGTTTCCTTTAGTCGCGAGAGACTGGTACTAACCAAATTGGCCTTGAATGCCATGGTCCATGTTTGACCCCATGTTCTTGAAGCATGATTTATAATAAACTTTAGTGTGTCAGCAAAGGGCTTAACATATGTCTTGCCAAGAGCCTGTTCTTCCAGACCAGCTGTGCTCAGATCTGACTCCTGTGTAGATTGCTACCCTAATTCTTTTTTTTTGGGGGGGGGGGGTGGCAGTGATCATGGAAGATCTTCTCAAAGAGAATTCCAGCATTAACTCAGAAATTAGATGCATATCCCAGTTATTCTTTTACTGGATTCCTATAGAAAACATTTGTTTTTAAACCACTGAACTAAGGTCATAACTCTCTTTGCCTGTTCTCGCCTTTGACCTTGATCATATATCCTTCCTGATTATTTTAGTCCTGATTTTTTTCTGAGATATATATTTAGCTACTCGAGTTTAAAAATCAAAACAGAAATTTACCATCTTCATCCATCTTCTTTCATTTATAAAGATTTATATTTATTTTTAGGTGTATGTTTGCCTGCATGTATGAATATCACATGTGTGCCTGGTACCCTCAGGGACCAGAAGAGAGCATCACATCCCCTAGAACAGGAGTTACAAGCAGTTGAGCCACCATATGAGTGCTGGGAACTGATCCAGGTTCTCTGAAAGAGCAGCCAGCACTCTTTACCACTGAACTCCGGGCCCTGATTTATTTAGTTGTACGGGGGAGCTTATTAAAGAACAGGCCTGGTGGAAAGGCGTTTGATGTTTAATCTCCCATTCTCCAATTTTATTATTAGAAAGCAAAAACAAAAGACTTGGAAAGCAAATATGGCAGAATGATAAAACCACAGTTGTGTTGTGCCTGGCACATTGGCACATGACCTGGATGGGTGCTGAAGCAAACCACTTTTTGTCTCTTTCCCTAGCCCTCCTAGCCACAACATTGTAGTGAATGGAAAAGAATGTATAAACTTTGCCTCCTTTAATTTTCTTGGATTGCTGGACAACCCTCGGGTCAAGGTGAGTAGTACATACTGCTGAAGTGGAACATGACTTTGCTAGTTGAAGAGAATGAGTGTAAAGGACATGGGCGACCCATCAGAAAGGGCAAAATGCCTCCCACTACTGTGTGTGACAGACTCAGAACCTAGGCTTGGACAAAGGGAGTCAGAAGTGTCTGAAGGGCTTAGTGTAGCTGGCAGCCAGAGGACCCAGGATAGCCAGACCTGGATAGTAGTCAGAGTGTGTCTAGGCAGTTGCTCCATCTCCTATTAGGAGTTTTTAGGGAAGGCACAGGTTCACAAATGCAAGAAGTGTAAAGGTCTTGAGTTCATTGAATATTCAGAATTAGGCTAATATAACTTTTCCATTGTTTTTGTTATGTGCCTTATTTGTTAGACCCTGTGTTACCTACACCCTGTTGAAATTGTCATAGTTACAAGAAAGAAAGGAAAGTGGGAGAGGGAAAGGGTAGCTGTGTGGGTTCAAGAATAGAAAGCGTCAGTTTTGACTCTTAAGGTAAATCATTAAAATTTTTTGCTTCAATAAAGGCAGCAGCATTAGCATCTTTAAAGAAATACGGCGTGGGTACCTGTGGACCTAGAGGATTTTATGGCACATTTGGTAAGTTGTATTGTTTTTCAAACTCCCTTTAAATAGTTAAGATTCAGTTTGATTTTAAAACTCCTTTGAAAACATATTCTTAATTACTAAGCTGAGTGTGTTTGGTTTCTTGCATTTCATTTAGTTGTATTTGGAGGCATAAGTGGGAAATGCATTGGTCTGGGACTGGGTGTGGCTTGTAGAAGAAAGAGTCTGAGGGCATATTACCATAGGCTCTTCTGTGGTGTGAAAAGACTGTCTTTGTCATACATACCCAGCCACTTGCTGGGTGTTGGAATCTTGGTTGGGTCAACAAGGACCCAACCAGGTCTTGCCTGTCACATTGCTCTTGTGTCCAAGGATGCTGTCCTTTATCCTTTTTTACCTGCTAGACACCAGTCACACTGTTTCAGAACGGAAGTGTAGGCAGCAGTGCCATTCCCACAGAAGAAGTGGGTTTATACCTCACTTTCCCACTGTTCACTGGAAAGAACTGTCAAAAGACAGGGCTAGAAAAGAGCCCTAGGCAGTCCTGTATTTATTTGCTGGATTGTAACTGTAGCTTTTTTCTTTCTGTAATGGAGGTGAAGATCCTTGTGCGTGTGACCCTGGTATAGACTACCTAAATATTCAGGTGGTGTAGGGTAGCAAACACCTGTGAGCTTCCTAACTCAGTCTTCAGAGAAGACCTATTAAGTGTACATTCATTGCTCTTTGCTTCTGAAAATTAAGTTCAGATGTTCAGATGGTTAAATTCTGGAAATAGCATTCTGGTTTACAGAACATCAGAATGGGAAGTAAATTAAGGAAATCATCTCCTGTCTTCTGTCCTTATTTCCACTTCTGGATCTTTCTGTGTTTTGAATTTCAGTGGGTTAACACGTTTTTCATGAAAGGAGGACCTTTATTTCTTAGTTTGGTGATTACATTGTTTGTGCTGAAGACAGATGGGAAGAGTTGGTGCCTGCAGATCCTATAGCTATAAGGAATCTCAAAAATTGTCCCAACCCTTCAGCCAAGGATGCTCAGAAATGTTAAGCATCTTCCTCACAGTCTCACAGTTCATAACTTTCAATCTTAAAATTAGACCCAGTGTCTTGACTTTCAGTCTCAAATGGCAAGATCAAAGGACTGAGTTCAAATCAGAGCCTCCTACTTTCCTCTGTCTAAAGCAAACAGGGGTTGTTTGTTTTGTTTTTATTGGTAGGGAATTGTTTCCTTGACACAGGACTAGGAAACAGGAAAAGCTACTTTTTAATGAGTTGTTGGTTATTATCTGATTTACGAGCCTGGCTTTCTGTGAGTTGGCTAGAATGAAGAAATTGCTTTGTTAAAAGCCTCTCTAGTAGATTTTATATGCATATGTAGCCTTGACTCCTGTTTAGGACTTAATCTGAGAAGACAGATGAACTATATTACTGTATCAAATGGGGGGAGGGGAGTAAAGTCTTTAAGACTAGTTTTCCTGAAGCTGTAAAAATGTTATTAATATAGCCCAGTGATTCCATTTGGATCGCTTGCACAAGCGTGTGCTAGGTACTGTCCAATTAATCTAATATTCTTGACTGAGTAATTCCATACAGGGTACAAACTTCAAAACAGAGATGGACATAAAAAGTCTTTGAACCTCTGTCCCTGTCCTGTCCCTGTCCTTTCCACTGCATCTCACTCCCATGATAAAGTCAGGTGACTGTCAGAAGTTTCTTGTTAACCCTGCCACAGATTTGAGCATATTCGATCACTTCCATACATACTTACTTCTCCCATTTCTGCAAAAATAACCCTGTTGTCTGCATTGTTCTATGCTTGCATGTTGATAGGATGTGTTTGGGTTTTTGCAGTGCTAGGGTCAAACTCATGGTCTTGTGTGTGCTAGGCAAACACTTTTTCACTGAGCTTATACCTCTAGTCCCAAAATGAGTGTATTTTAAATTTAAGATTGATTTCATTTTTTTTTTCAGGTATCTGAATGGCCACCAGAGGCCAATAGTAAATATACAGTTGTATATCAAGTGCTCTAAACTCCTTACAGACCAGTAATTCATCTATGTCCTAAAACTATATAATTATTCAAGTTGAGTTTGGCATCTAGATCAGGATTACAAATTCATTTGCATCAGACAGTTTTGTAATGAGACACCACACCCAGAAGTCATGACCTGTTTCCTAAGAGCCTTGGCTTTCAGCTAAGGTCAGTTCGTCCCTTCTGAACAATTGGCCTCAATGGTCATCCTCTGTCCTGTGTGTGATCCATATTTGTACTTTGGTTTTCTAGCAGGATTGTTTTTCTGTGGTTTTTTTTTTTTTCTGAAAGCAGTCATTTGAATAATTATATCAGTGTACTGTGAAATTGTAGCATTTGATAAAATCAGGAAACTACCTGAAGTCATCTTAAGATGATTTAAGCCTCTCCAGTACTTCCTGCAGTTAAATTATTCTGAGTATTCGGGGCACGTGGCAAGTGCCCTTTGCACTGAGAAGTGAAGCAGAGCCTTCTCTTCTTTGTCGTTGCTTATGTGTTTTTGAACTGGGTAATTCAGGGCTTAGAATCGCTTTCCCTAGGCCCACAAAGGTTGCTTTTAATTTGATTGTTACCCCCTTGTTGTAACAATCTGGGCATCTGTTTTCAAAGCTTCCCCCTCTTTTGGTTCTTCCCTTAACTTTTTAGATAATGAACATAAACCTCTTATAGCAAAAGTAACTTTGCTTATTAAAACATTCTCTCAGGCTGGCAAAATGGCTCAGCAGATAAGGGCACTTGCTGCCAAGTCTGATGACCTGAACCCTAGAACCCACATGGTGGAAGGAAAGAACTGACTCCCTCCAGTTGTCTTCTGACAGCTCACATACACACTGTGACATGCATGCACCCACACACAATAAATACATAATTTTTTTTAATTGTCTCTTTTTGCTGGATAGCTTTAGTGTCAACTTGACACACCTGGATTGAGGGAGCCTCAACCGGGAATTGCCTCCATTGGACTGGCCTATGGCCATGTCTGTGGGGCATCTTCTTGATTGTTGAATGATATGGGAGGGCCCAGCCCATTCTGTGTGGTACCACCTCTGGGCAGGTGGGCCTGTGTTACAATAAGAAAAAAGGCTGAGCAGGGGCCAGAGGAGCAAGCCAGTAAGCAGCATTCCTCTATGGCCTGTGCTCCAGCTCCTGCCTCCAAGTTCCTACCCTGAGCTCCTACCTTGGGCTCCCTGATGATCAGTGACCCGGGAGATGTAAGCCAAATAAACCCTTTCCTCCCCAAGTTGGTATTGATCAGAGTATTTTGACACAGCAATGGAGAGACAAACTAGAATATATAGTAACATATAAGTTAGATGATTAATACAGAAAAAGACAGTGGAGCAATGATTGAGTTAAAATTTGTCTAATTCTTTAGGCTAAATGTTGTGCTCCTCCCAGAGGCCTGGCAGAGGGGACTAAACACTGGGCTCACACAGCAGTGGTCAATGAGCAGTGCATTTACTGGGGTACTAGGAATTGAATGTATGGGAATGTCACAGCAAATCCCATCAATTTGTACAACTGATGCTTGTTAATATTTTTAAAAACTAGATAACAAAAAAAAAATCATTGGAATGTCTTCCCAACTACTTTTGTGTTTTAGATGTGAGCAGTTGGTTTTACAGAATTGGAGCCATCTCTCCGTCCAGGGCTGGTCAGTCCCTGTGTATTCAGGAGGCTATCTGCTGATACATGTTTATTTCCTTTTTCTCCTGTTTGTAAGCCTTATTGAGCCTTATATCTGAGCTTTAACTTCACTGTGGTGGTCTCTGGTACCTTGGTATCTCTTTGTCATAGGTGAAGCCTGCCTGGCTCCTTGGTCTTAAATTGAGTCAAAAGACAGTGGTATATTGGTCTGGGTATGGTGGCGCATGCCTGTAATCGCAGGACTCAGAGGCAGGCAGATCTCTGTGAGTCCAGCTGCTTGCGACAACAGTAAGAACGTGTCTCAAAAACAAAAAGCATCACCTGTGCAGAGGTGACCTTTCATTTTGGTCTAGAGCCAGCAGTGAACAGTTGTTCTTTGGGTGGTTTTTTAAGTGTCTTCTTTTTTTTAATGAGAGTAGTCAACTGGACCACAACTGAGTGTTTTATTAGAAAGAACATGTGGTCTCTAAATTCCTCCATCTGCTGCTGCTTTTCTTCCAGGCCTGGATCATGGTTTTTGTAGGAGTGGGGAGAAACAGTCCCTGCCTACACAGCTTATAACATTTGGCAAGAATCGAATATGATCCTGAATGTGAAAACATTGTGAAAAACATTCAGCACCACATTTGGATACATAAATGCTGATATTTTTATTTTTAGGCAAAAAAAAAAATGTATGTCTAGGAATTTTATGGGGGGATGGAGGGAGTATATGTTTTGTGTGTGTGTGTGTATGTGTGTGTGTGTCTGTGTGTGTGTGTTACTGGGGGTTGAATGTAGGGCCTTGCTCATGCTAGGCAAGCCTTGTATCACTGAACATATATTCCCAGCTCTTTTGTATCTTTTTTTTTTTGAGGCATGGTCTTATGAAGTTCCCAGGCTAGGCTGGTCTTGAACTTTGGATCTTTCTGTCTCAACCTCCCAGGTAGTTAGGCTTACAGGTCTTCTCTGTTTTAGGAATTTATTTTAATTGCATGAATTTATTTATATGTGGAAGGGGGCATATGCCACAGCTCGTGTGTGAAGCTCAGAGAACAACTTGCAGGGAGTAAGTTCTGTCCTTCCACTATGTGGGTCCTAAGGATCAAACTTAGGTTCTCAGGCTTAGAAGCAAATGCCTGCCGAACCGTCTCTGACCCAGGATTTTTTTTAAGAAGAGTATTTACACAGAAATATGAAGTTATTAATAGAAAATGTGGTAAGTTGCTTGTTTTTTAGTATTTATTTTTCTAGCTCTTTATAGATGTTTAATAAACAATTTTTTTCTGAGCCAGGCACTGTTCTGAATGTTTCATTGACATTAAACTGCATGTTCCTCCTAACAGCCCTTTGAGGAAAGTGTGGCTATTACTCTTGTCTTTCAGAGGAGACACTGCAAGGCACAGTGCAATTTCAGACTTGTCGGTGTACGCCGATGATGGGTGCCCAGCGTGAGCCCTTGGAGGCCTGGCTGCTTCTGAGCCCTGGGATGGCTCAGTGGCCAGGCCTCGTCTCAGGTTCTAGTGAGGTGTGACAAAGGATTGGAGTGTCTTTGAGGCATCAGAGGCTTTGGGAAGTTGGGGGAACACAGACCTCCCACTGCAGCCTCTTCTCTGCTGCTGTGTCAGAAGATGTAGTGTTCATGTTTCAGGCATGCAGAGCTGTGGCCCCACAGGCCAGGGCGGATCTACATACAGAAGATAGGGCCATCAGAAGTAAATAGTAGTGCTTGGTAGTTCTCCTTGCTGCCTACCTCCCTCGGGTTAGGGATCTGTTCGCTGCACAGACTAGCATCAAGAGAAACTAGTTCTGTACTTGCCAATGTTTACCCATCACAGAACCTGCTTTTCAAGGCTGACATCAGCCAAAACCCAGTGTTGTTAGGTAGAAAGAAAGTCCGGGGCTTCTGAAACTTTGGGGACTAGGCAAGTCATTGATTTATCACTCAGATTCTTCATGCCAAACTACTTCAACTTTATATAATTGGTGTTTGGAGTACATGATGATGAGGATGCTCATAACACACCGTTTTCCATCAACTGAGGAATTCTCTCTGAAGCTCTGGTAGAAAGCATGTTGAGCTTCTCAGTCTCGTCCCTCACCAATGAATCAGGTCCTTGAGAGCTGAGAGGCCTACAGAGTAATCTATTGAAATCCCTTTTAGAGTTACTAAAAATCATACGTCTGCCTCCAAAACATGGTGTGAGAGATAATATGGTGCCATCTCTTCTAGAAGGTGGACAGTCACGTGCCTTGGGTTCTGCATGGGGTTAATGTCACAGATCTAGTACTTGCAGATCAACTTAGGTACCTTCACAAACTTAGTCTTGTGAACTCCCACATTTATTTAAATGTTGATGTCATGAAAAGCATCCAGTCTGTAAATTTCCTGTAGCCATCTGGTAATACATTTGTATTTCTTGCAGTGATGGTAGTCCAGGTTTATAGACTGTAGGTAGTAAGCAGAGAGAAGCATGCTGTATATAATAAATAATAAAAACTATTTATTATTTATTTGATTGGGATGGCCTAGATTGTTCAGATGAACCATTTTCAGCAGCTTTAAGAAATCTATAGCTAAGGGCATGGTGGTGCATACCTTTAATCCCAGCACTTGGGAGGCAGAGACAGGCAAATTTCTGTGAGTTCAAGGCCAGCCTGGTCTATCTACATAGTTCCAGGCCAGCTGGGGCTACAGGGAGACCCTGTCTCAAAAAGACAAAAAAACAAAACAAAACAACAACAAAAAAAATGGGGCTGGGCTGGAGAGATGGCTCAGCAGTTAAGAACACTGGTTGTTCTTGCAGAAGATCCGGGTTCGAATCCCAGCACCCACATGGCAGCTAACAACTGTCCATAACTCCAGTTCCAGGGGATCCGACAGCCTCTTCTGTCCTCCAAGGTCATTGCATGACATGGGTGCACTTAACCTACACGCAGGCAATACACGCATACACGTAAAAATAAAAATAATAAATAAAAACTATTTTTTTAAAAAAAGGAAAGAAAGAAATTGGTAGCTAAAATTAGGATCTGCCAGCTGGCCATCAGCACTCTCCACCATGCCTCGCCAAGCCCCTGCCATTATCCATAAAGCTCCCTCAGTGGACACACCATGGCCCCCTCCTCCACCATTTAAGAATCTGCCTCTGTATCTCCCCCACCCCTCCCAAGTTCAGAGTCAGGAACCTGGCTTCTGGCTTCTCCTCAAGTTGGAAGTGCTCTGTCCTTGCACAGAGCATATGGTAAAGCTGTGATCTGGCCCTCTTGGCATGGGCCTTACTGCAGAGGAAAGAGTAAAGGAGTGTTTACAAATCCATTTCTCTTCCTCAGAATGTCTATTTTAAAGCGACTTTGAAGCTCTAAGACTCAAAGATGATGGTGGCCTTCTGTCTCTGAGAAATGCTTGTCCTCCTCCTCAGCATCTGACTTAATGGCTTAGACTGCCAGTTGAAAGGCTATAAGGAAACATGATTTAAGAGGGAAATAAAACATGTCACTTCAGTAATTATAATTTATCCTTGTTACACCAGCATTCTTAAGCTACTTCTCCAAAGGGACCCCATTTCTTTCAGTGCTGTGAATTTGAATTCCCTAGTATACTCATACGAACAAATGGGTGGCTGGGCATCGTGGCCCGTGTCTTTAATCCTAGCATTCAGAGAAAGAGGCAGGCAGATCTCTGTGAATTAGGGCTACCCTGGTCTACATACCGAGTTCCAGGCCAGCCAGGGCTTCATAGTGAGACAGACCCTGTCTCCAAATAAAAACAAAGGGGTGGCAATTGCTGTCCTGAGGTTTGTTAGAGGAGAGGTTGCTGTGTAAAGGAAAAAGAATTATAAGACAGTTAACTATTTTAACTTTTCCACTAAAATAGATGTTCATCTGGATTTGGAAGAGCGCCTGGCAAAATTTATGAAGACTGAAGAAGCTATCATTTACTCATACGGATTTTCAACCATCGCCAGCGCCATTCCTGCTTACTCAAAAAGAGGGGACATCATTTTTGTGTAAGGAACCTACACCTGCACATCCGATCAGAATTCCTTCCAAAACAAAGGTTTTTGCCACTGAGCCATGCCTCCAGTCCCCCACTTAAATATTTTGGTTTCACAATTCTATATTAACTATCTCTTTTTAAAAGCTTTTTGTGTGTATGAGCGTTTTGCCTGCATGTATATAAGTGCACCCATGTCATATAATGTCCACAGAGGTCAGAAGAGGGTGTCAGATCCCCTGAACTGGAATTAGGGACAGCTCTTAGCCACCATATGAGTACTGGGAACTTAACACAGGTCCTCTACAAAAGCAGGAAGTGCTCTTCTGAATCATCTCCATCCCCTGTGTTGACTATCTTTAAATCTGCTACTATAGTTACTGTTTATTATTAAATATATATATATATATATGTATGTATGTTTTTTAAACTTCATATTAAAAATACAGGGGTTGGAGAGATGGCTCAGTGGTTAAGAACCTGGTTGTTCTTACAGAAGACCTGGGTTCAAATCCCAGCACCCACATGGCAGCTAACAACTGTCCATAACTCCAGTTCCAGGGGATCTGACAGCCTCTTCTGTCCTCCGCGGGCATTGCACCACACGGGTGCACTTAACCTACATGCAGACAATACACTCATGCACTTTAAATAAAAATAATAAAATAAATATTTTTTTAAAAAAAATACAGGTAGCTTGCACTCGATGTTTACAGTACTAGGACATTCTGAATTTGCCTGTTTGGTTTCTCCTTTTCATGATTTCTTCTTATTCATTAGCATCTATTTCACTATAGAGAATGTGCTGTAGTATTTCTTACAGGAGAACTGGGTAGAGATACATTCTCCTTGTCATTGTTTGGAAATATCTTTCACCTTCATTTCTAAATCATAGCCTTGCTCTATACAGTATTCTTTGTTGGAAGGTTTTGGGGAGAGGGTTGTTGTTTTTCCTTCAACCTTATGCCACTCTCTTCTGGCCCATAAAGTTTCTATAGAGAACTCTGTTGTGCTGCTAAATGGGACATCCTTGTGTATTTTCTTTTCTCTTGTTGCCTTTAGAATCTCTATCCTTCATATTCAAGAGTATGATTAAGGTGTGTGTTGGAGAAGTCTTCGTTGAGTTAAATCTGATTCATGACTGCGCATATCTGGATATTTGTATCTGTCTCTTAGTTTGGAAAGTTTTCCGTAATTTCTTGGAAAAAGTTTTCTACTCTGCTAGCATTTCTCAGGTCCCTCAGGAACCTCACTGACCTCATTTAATGCTGTCCTAAAGCTCCTGTGAGTTTCCTTCATCCCTCTTTGCTCTTTTTCCCCTCTGTAAATAAATATTTGCAAATGGCCTGTCTTTGAGCTCACTAGCTCTTTCATATATTTGATCCTTCCTCCTTTTAATATTTCCTGTCACATTTTTTATTTCACTTAGCTCAAAAACTTCTGTTTGTTTGATTGGGGTTTTCTGGGTTGTTTTGTTGTTTCTGAAGTTGGGGGAAATTGCCTCCTAATGTAGGCTTCTCTTTTGGAGTACTGAATAGTTTATCTGTATTTTCTTTGAGCTAGTTGTATTAAACAGCTGTTTTCTTCCCCGTCTCAGAGTTCTCCTATACTGATTACTATGTGGTCAGTTTGCCGCACCTCATTTTGAATAGGTGATGGTTTATTGAAAGCTCTTGATGTTTCTTAGAGTGAAGCATCATCTAGGCTCTGGCGGAGTAATTATTTATTCCATTTTTGTAAGTTGGCTTTGCTGGTACGTGCCTTTCCAGGAAATCTAAGCAAACTATTGCTTTTCTCTGAACCAGTAGTCACTGCCACTGTTTAGCACTGTGACCCCTAGACCAGGTTTGCCTGTTGGCTGTTGGTGTATTGTCACTCTTTGAACACCAGAGGGCAATCCAAGCCCAAGTTTGTCTGGAATTCACAGTTGGTGAATTGCTTAGGGATGAATCCGGAGAGCCTAGGAAGGTTAATCAGTTTTAGAAGTTTGTGGCAAAGGCCCAGGCACCTTGTCCATAGTCACGGGTGTGTAGTCAGGCACTACAGATTCTGTCCACCTCAGCAGTCATTGTGGATGGATATGCTCCCGGCTCCTGTACCACACTTGTGGCCATCAACCCTGACAAGCTATGTAGCACCATAAGGCCCCAACCCACAAGACTTCCACAGCACTGGGGAAGGACCAAAGCCCACCTGCTCTAGGCTGACTTCAGCTGAGGTCAATTTATGACCCGAGACTCTGCTGGTATAGGTAATCCTGACACTAATAGTGGTCTCGTGCAATGAGGCATGTATCCCCGCCCAGGGTTGGGGTAGTTTGGGTGAATGCAATCCCTTGGCCACCAAGGCAGATGCTAAGTGCTAACACTAAGCTGTGCTGTGCTTCAGGTTACCTTCAAGAGCCTGCAGAGTCTGGGTACTTTGATTGGCTCTCTTGCCCCTTTATTTGGGGTTACCTGTTTGAGCTTCGCTCACCATCTTTAATCTGTAGGGCTAAGCCACTTCTGTATCTAGGGCTTTAGCTGGTCTCTCTGTGTCCTTCTGACGTTCTGTTCTCTTTCTCTCCCATGACTCCATTGACAAGCCTGGGATCGCTGTCTACACTCCCAGGTCCCTGAAGCTCTGCTCATGTCCTTTATCCTGTTTTCTCTTGAGCGCACAGTGAGTCATTTCGATAACGTCCTTCTGTTTGCTAACTCTTTCCTGCCCGTCCACTGAGTCTCTGGGCTGTTTGGTTTTTCAGAATGCTGTCTCCATAGGATTCTTCTTTGTGGCTTCTATTTTTCAGTGAGGTTTTCTTTCTTATTTTACATGTTTCAGGTATGTTGGTAATTGCTCAATAAGATACTTTTGTCCTGGCCTCTGCAGCTGACAGATCATCTTGGGATCTCTGTCACCTCAGTATTGGCGTTTGCTGTTTTTGTTCAGCCTGTGTGCTCTCCTGATGTTTGGTGTTAGTGATGTTTAATTGGAACACAGGCTGTTTGGTGTTACGCTGTTATAGTCTGTACTACATTCCAGGCATGTCCAACCTGCAGCACATGTCACATAAATCCTCAGACAGATATGAATGTGGCCCCCACAAAATCATAAACTTAATATATGAGATTTTTTTCTTGTAACTCAATCATGTGGCTGTCAGGCACAAACTTTGCAGGTGGCCGTGTCCTGTTGCTGTGTGAAAAGGTTGTACATCCCTGAAACCATCTGTTTCAACTATGTTTCTCTGATACTGTAGGGAAGAGAGGGAAGGCACACTACTGTGTCATTCCTGCCAGGGCATGCTCTGTGCCAGTCCCTGTTCAAGCCATGGAAAGCAAAGGTCAGACTTTCTTCATTGGTTCTGGGTGATGATGACAGTCCTGCATTTTCTCTAGGCTTCCTCTGACAGTGTCCAAGTGGAGATGGGGAGGTGTCCGATTATTATGAGGTATGCGGGAGTGTTTGTTTCCTGGGAGGGATATTTTGTGCATTGTTAGAGCCCTTTATAAGCCCATGTTCCTCACTCAGCCTCTGCCAGTGTGGGCGAGGTTAGGCCACATTTTCCTGTGGCGCTTGGCCATGGCTGAGTGCTTACAGCCCGAACACTGTGCACCTGTCTGGGCTGCCAGTGTTTCTTGTGTTTCAGAGTAATGGTGGAGTCAGTTAAATCGGAGATACCACTGACAGTGAGGTCACCAGGATTTTATACATTCTTAGAGGAGTGTGTAAGCTCAGATGCAGCCACAGCGCACATCCTTGTTTCAGAGAGACTGGAATCTGGCTAGCGCATGCTTCTGGCAGTAGATTGAGTGTAGTTGTCAGGTGGAAGCACTTGCAGCATGAAGAGCAAACTGCTGTGTAAGTGATCAAACACTTTATTTGCTGTGATTCAGTTAACAATTGGCGGCTGCTCAGCTTACAATAGCAAGCGTTCCTTTTCTGAGAATGTTGACAAGGTCCTTTAACCCCAGCTTGGCACCTCTCTCCCTTGCAGGGACAGCGCAGCCTGCTTTGCTATCCAGAAAGGATTACAGGCATCACGGAGTGACATTAAGGTATTTAAGCATAATGATGTAGCTGACCTGGAGCGACTACTAAAAGAACAGGAGATCGAAGATCAAAAGGTACGATCCTTTTGAAAAATATCACGCACTTCTTTTGTACTTTCTGAGCAGCTAAATTATACATGAAATGGTAATTTGTCATTGAAAACTTGCCTGCAGATGACATTTGGATACTAAGCAAGGGTGCTCCTGCTTATTCAGTGTATTTCAGGTTGGAAAGCCAAGCCATAATTGTGTACAGCACAGTTAGCAGAGGTTATCCAGGCAGCTTGCTAAGGGGACTGCGGGGAGACAGCTTGCACTTGAGGAGATGTTCATTCCCAGTTTTGCATAGGATCACCAACCAGAACTCATTAGGGCTTCAACTAGGCACATGTAGTGAAGTCAGAACAGACCTCTTTATATGATGAAATCTTAATTAAGAATTCATAGGCCAAATGAGACCCTCACTCCCCCACCCACACCACCACCCCTGCCCTTTTGATGCTCTAAGCAGCTGCTGTCTGTGGGGAGCCTCTGCCCAGAAAGGGAGCAGGAAGGAGCTCTCCTGACCCTTGCAGGCCTGCTTCAAGTAAACTTTGCCAGAGCAACTCAGAACTGGAGTAGTTGCTGAAATGCTCATCAGTGCCTGTGATTTTTGTGTCCATTTATATATTTCCAAGTAGCTGAATTACTCATTTAGGATTTTGTTATCTTTGTTTAGGAGTCAGCCTTGTGTGTCACTTCATGAATTTGAACATTGTCATGATGAATATTTCGTGAGCTCACCATTTTGTGCTCAGTGTCCTCTCAGCCAGTGTTTTACACTTAATGCAAAAAAATCAACAGAGGAAAGTCTGAAATTGAGACTGTCTCAGGGGTTTATTTCTTGTGACAAATGAAACGATGGCCCTTATTCTGATTAGGTGCTATACTCCCAGCCACCTAAATAAATACTGTTTTCAAAAGTGTGAGCAGGGTCCAGACTTCTGGAGGTTTTTCATAGATAGATTGGGAGATATGATATTCAGTTTGATGTATATTTTTCATAAGATTTATAATCCATGGAGCTTCTTTATGAATAATAGCAAGAAAGAAAATTACATATCTTGGAACTTTAATATTACTTCTAATTAATTTACACCTCATTTTCTTTCCAGGAATAGGCTGTTAAATAATTTCATATTTTGTTTTCAAAAATACTCTCTTGAGCCAGTAAGATGGCTTAGCTGATAAACTTACCACTAAGCCTGACAACCTGAGTGGATTCCCAAAACTCACACAGTACAGAGAGAGCACTGACTCTTGCTACAAGTTATTCTCTGACTTCCATGCACACGTGGGCACACAGTACATCAATAAAGACATAAATACATGTAAAAATACAAAAGGAAATCTCAATTTCATCTTCTTATAAACAATAAATGTTATGATTGTTAGCTCTTTAGTATTTCCTTCTTGAGCCGTTACCTTCCCTTTGCAAGTAGATTAAAATATGGCAGTTTAGTCACCATTTGGGTAGGCGTTCCTTCTCTTTGTCCTGTCATGATTCCCAGGGTTTTTTCATCCCTCCATTGTTCTCTTGCCCCGTATTCTTCTAGCAAAGAATATGGTAAGTTGAAATGCACTGTAGTTCATCGAGGGGCTGTACACATGAGAAGTAGCCTGGCCTCACTAAGGAAGTAAACTTCCAAATCAGGTCACCTTTTACCACTAATAATCAGCGTCTACATGTACTGACACAGGAGACACTCCTTAACCCTGAGAAGAGTAAACCAACATCTTTATAGAAGCTTAATGGACACATATATTCCAGGTCTTTAAATAGCTCCTTTGACCCATACTTGAGATACTCAGAAGTGATATCAAAGATTAACAGATAAAATGTGCTGTGAATATCAAAATGAGGGAAGCTACTTAAATACAACACTAGAGGAATTGTAAAGTAATGGTGTACCCACAAGGCAGAAGTCGCCACTGAAACCATGTTTTAAATAATACTAATTTAGAAATGATCACAACATAACATTTAAAAAATAAGATTCTGAAATTATTGCTGTAAAGTCCAAATTTTGAAAAAAGTGATACTTACATGAGTATATTTTAAAAGATAAAAATTATCAGTGCACAGAATGACCACCTAATCCTGAGAATTCTTCCATCTACTTTCCCTTATCCTAAGTCTCTACATCAAATATTTTAAATCCTAAGAAGATACTTGGGGTGGGGCAGTTACTCGGTGGTAGAGCACCTGCCTAGCATGTAAAGGAAGATCTAGAAATTAAGGAGATGAACATTTTTTAAAGGCAGAAGTGAGGATGTGCTGAAATGCGCATGGCGTCTTTCCATCACTGACTCCCCACAGATCCATATTGCCAGCTTGAGGGCTTTCAGCGGTCAGCAACAGAGACGTGGGGAGATTGGGCGACCTCGGTGGTGTCTGCTTTGACGATCTCTGCAGAAAGGCTCCTGTGCAGGCAGCTCTGTGTCCCCAAATACCCCTTAAAGCATTGTTCTGATAACCAAGCTTCTAACTACACATTGGAGCAGAAGCAAGAAATCATTGAGTAGGAGGGTGGTGGTGAGTTCTAACTCTGTGAGACTCAGTGTTTGTCTCTGACACACATGAAGCATCCACAGTGTCTTAGATGTGATAGATCAGTGGCCTTCTTTGAACAGGGTGGAGGGAGAAACATGATTTTAACTAGGCCCCTCTACCACCTTTGATTTCATCAGACAGGGTCTTAGCTGAATTTCACTGACCCACTGATGATGTCAGTAAAGAATAGGAAAAGAAAAGGGTTTCATTGTGTTGTGCTGGGTGAAGGAGAGAAGAGGCTAACAGCACACCTAGGAAAATACAGCAGTTTAATGACCCACATACGCCCACTTCCCTTTCACAGTGTTGTCATCAACCTGCCACCCTGGTGCCATCTCCACCTCTACCTGCTCTTCAGACCATGGGAATTGTGATGATGATGATAATGGTCTTCACTGTAGTTCTTTCTCTTTTGACACTGAAATGTGAAAACCCTAGCAGTGTGATTTTTGTTTTTGTTGTGGTGGTTGCTGTTATGGGTCTCCCTGTGTCCCAGCTGGCCTGGGACTGGCTACGTGGATCAGGCTAGCCTGGATCTCACAGAGATCCACTTGCCTCTGCCTCCCAAGTGATGGGATTAAAGGTGTGGGTCACAAAGCCGGTGAAGCCATCTGATTTTGAACAGTTTATTTATTTTAATTTTGCATGTATGTAAGTGCACCCCTGTTTTGAAATGCCTGAGGACAGAAGAAGGCATCCGATCCCCTGGAACTGAGTTACAGACAGTCGTTAGCCAACATGTGGGTGCTGGGAACCAAACCCAGGTCTTCTGCAAGAGCAGCTGTGTTCTTAACCACTGAGCCATCTCTCCAGCCCCCGAACAATGTTTTTTATCCTATAACTTACCCAGGAGTCTTTGCTTCATCAGAATGTTCTCTGAGCTCTGCCCCAACCAGTTCTGGAGTTGGAGGGGTTTGTTTGCTTTAGTATTTTCAGAGTGCCTAGTGTGTGTCTATGTGAGGTCACCCAGCTCACTCTGTAAACTGGAAAATGTGCTTGAGAAAAGAAACTGGTGTCGTCTCTTGTTTATCTCAAAATAATAGAATCTCAAATATTAAGCTGTAGATGCATGAAAACCTTTTTCTTTTCCAGTGAGTCCTGTATGAGGTAAAATTCTTGGGATCTGTAACAGTTTATATTTGGAGTTGCTGAAATTTAAGGTGTCTGGTTCTCTTCTTTTAAAGAATCCTCGCAAGGCTCGTGTGACTCGACGTTTCATTGTAGTAGAAGGACTATATATGAATACTGGGACTATCTGTCCTCTTCCGGAAGTGGTAAGCGTGCTTAGTCATTACCGTAGTAGTTCCATCATCCAGCAGTTAAGCCTTTTGCTTATGGTTACAGTTAAGGTATGATGCTTGGGGCCAGCAAGATGGCTCAGCAGACAAAGGTGCTTGTCATCAAGCCTGATGACCTGTGTTCAATGCCTCAGAACCCAAATGGTGGAAGGAGAGAATTGACTCCTGCAGTTGCCTTCTGACTACCACACTTGTGCTATGGCAAGCATACACATACCTCATACATACATTCATACATACATGTAAAAAAAAGTACCAAAAACATGATGTGTTCTCTGCTTTGTGCAGTAGGTGTCATAAACATACTCTGTCACACCAGGAAATTAGGCTAGCATTAATGACCACGCTGCTCTTTAAAGAGTAATCAAGACTTAGTGTTTAAAAACAGACTTTATTGAGGCAAAATTGACATGTAAAATACTATACTCGTACTTTATGTGTCCTGATATGTATATATTCTGTTACCTCCACAGTCAAGAGACAGAGCATTTCTCTTATTCCAGAAAGTTCCCTCATGCCCATCCCTGTCCCCAGGCAACTGTTAATTACTTTTTGTTACTATAAACTATTTTTAACCTTTATAGAACTTAATGTAAACAATGCATATTTTATGAAACCGCGTTAAACAGTGACAGTAGTAACTATTTTCAGAAACCACAACCATTGAAATTTTTCTTAACAAGATGAAATTCATGTAACATAAAAGTAACCATTTTAGAGATCACAACATGGCATATGCTCACTGGGTTGTGTAACCATCCGCTCTATCTAGTTCGAACAGAAAGCAAACTCTGCTTCTAAGAAGCAGTCACTTTCCACATCATCTTCACCCTAGCTCTTTCCATCTGCTTTCAGTCTGCTTCCTGTCTCTGGATTGGCCTGCTTTGGATATTTCTTGGAAATGGCATCCTGCAAATTGGAGCCTTTGTGTCTGGCTTCCTTCAATAGCATGATGTTTCTAACTCCATCAACATTATGATATCAGTGTTTCATTCCTTTTTAATACTGTGTCTTTCAGTATGTGGACATAGCTCTTATTTGCTCCTCTGCTGATGGTATTGACTTGCTTTCATCTTTTGTCTATTGTGACTGTTATGAATTGTGTTAGTTACTTATCTCTTTCTTTCATTAAACAACCATGACCAAAGCCACTTAGAGAAGGAAGAGTCTATTTGGCTTGCAGTTCCAGAGGCAGAGTCCATAATGACTAGGAGTTTGGTGGGTGGGGTGGCAGCAGGAAGTGACAGAGTGAATAGCTGAGAGCTCACATCTATAAGCAGACACAGGAAGCAGAGAGAGACCAGACACGGGATGTGGCTATGGATTCTCTAAACCCACCCTCTGTGACCTGCTTCCTCTAGCAAGGCCACACCTCCTAAACCTCCGTAAACAATACCACCAGGAAATGGGAGAAAATGTTCAAATACCTGGAACCTATGGAGGACATTCCTCATTTAAACCATCACGTAATTATTTATAAATGGTTTTTGAATCTCTGTTTTCAGAGGTTTATTTTTTTAATTTTATTATTTTTATTTTATGTGTGTGAGTTTATTGCCTGCCTGTAAGTACACCCGTGTTGTACAATGTCCACAGAGGTCAGAAGAGGGCATCAGATTCCCTGGAACTGGAGTTATGGATGGTTGTTAGCCACCATGTGGGTGCTGGGAATTGAACCCATGTCCTCTGCAAGAGCATCACTGAGCCATCTCTTCAGTCCCTAGATGTTTGTTTATAAACCCAACATGTGTATGCTGGACCGTATGATAATTCTGTGTTTAAGGTATTGCGATGCCGGGGCTGGAGAGAGAGCACAGAACTGACTGTTCTTGCAAAAGATCCGGGTTCGAACCCCAGCACCCACATGGCAACTAACAACTGTCCATAACTCCAGTTCCAGGGGATCTGAGAATCTCTTCTCTCCCCCGCAGGCATTGCATGACACAGGTGCACTTAACCTACATGCAAGCAATACACGCATACACATAAAAATAAATAAAATATATTTTTTTAAAAAAGTATTGCGATGCTGCCACGCTACTTTCCTCTGTCCCTACCATTTACTTTCCTGTCAGCGGTTCCAGGTTCTCCCATCTTTGACAATGCTTGTTTTCTGTGCTGTGCTGTACTAGCCATCCTAGAGGTACGAAGTGGCCGCACCATCCAAATGACTAGGAGTGCTGTGTCTTTTTTCATGTACCCGATGGCCATTTGTTACTGTCTTTGGAGAAAGGTCTATTCAAATGCTTTGCCCAGTTTCTTACTGTCTTAAAGTTGTGACAGTTCTTTATATGACCTGGATACCTCTTATTAGATCCATGATTTTAAAATATTTCATCCCATTATGTGAGGTCTTGACACTACTCTTTGAGATAAAAAAGATTTTTAAAAAAAATGTTTGCTAGGTATTATGGCACACACCTTTAATCCCAGCACTCAGGAGAGAGAAGCAAGTGTGTCTCTGTGAGTTCAAGGCCAACCTGGACTACACAGTGAGACCCTGTCTCAAATAAACAAAGAAAAAAGATTGAATTTTGATGAGTGCATTTTGTCTACTTTGCTGTTCATTGATGTTTCTGACATTTCTAAAAATGCTTTGTTTCCTTTAAAAATCTCAGTTTTCCTTCTTCCCCTTTGGTTTATGTTCTTTTGAGTTAGTTTTTGTCTTACGCTGCAGTGACTGTCCATTCAGTTTTCTCAAGTTTTGTTGTGACACTTTGTCAAAACCAGTTGCCTACAGTCCCATGGATTTATTTCTGGACTCAGGGTTTTATTCCATTCATCTGAGTCCTTGGTCAGCATTGCATTGTGTCCATGGTTGTATCTTTGTAGCAGGCTTTGAAGTCATGAGTTGTAAGTTCTCTACATTTGCTGTTCTTTAGAATGTTTCCGCCATTTGGGGTCCAATCAGGTTCCACTTGAATTTTAGAGGAAGCATTTCCTGTTCTGTAAGCAACGCCACTGGGATTTTGATAGAGATTGTGTGACTTTTGGGTCATTTGGGGACACATGACCTGTTTACAGCAATATGTCTTTTGTCTGTGATGTTTCCATTCATTTACATCTTTAACTTCTTTCAGCAATGTTTACAGTTTTCAATGAACAAATCTGCCACCTCTTTCATTAAATTTATCACTAAATATTTGAGTCTTTTGACTCTATTTTGAATGGAATTATTAATTTCCTTTTCATTACTTATAGGAATATACCATTTTTCATATATTTTATTAAATTTATTACTAAAACATGAAATTCATGCATATTAGAGGGCGATACGGTGTTTTGGTGTGTTGCATATTGTGAATCTTGTTCTGCATATAAAATATCATGTCTGAGCCAGGCATGGACATGCATCCCTGTAGTCCTAGCACTTGAGAAATAGAATCAGGAGGATCAGAAGTTTAGAGTCATCTTCAGGTACATGGCAAGTTCAAGGCTAGCCTGGGCTTTATATCAAATGCTGTCTCATTATAGAAACAAACAAATCATGTCACTTGTGAACAGACAGAATTTCTTTTTCCTTCCAATTTAAATATCTTTTTCTTTTTTCCCCGCCTTTCATGGTTTTTCTGACTAGAACTTCCTCTCCAGTGTTTAGAAGGGTTAGAAGTACATACCTTGTCTTCTTCCTGTCCGAGGAAAAGCTTTTAGTTTTTCATTATTGGATATGAGGTTAGTTGTAAGTTTTTCATAAATCCCCTTTAACAGGTTGAAGAAATTCCTAATTCATAAATTTATCAAATTCAGGACAGAATGTTTGATTTTTCTCAAAAAGCCTTTTCTGCAGCCACTGAGATGGGTCTGTGAGTCTTTCCTTAATTCTGGTAATGCGGTCCCCAGTAACAATTGATGTCTTTTGAATCATTTTTGCATTTAGTCCTTGAGATTGGAATCTAGGAGTACATTAATTGCATTCGGGCTCAGAATAAGGATTTCATTTTCCACCGCTTCTGAGGATATTTGAATATATATTTTCTGATGTTGCATTTTTTTTTTCATCTTCCTGTTTTTCCAAGAGTGTCAGAGACTCACTGGATATAATGTGAGAGAGAGAATGACCAAAACTTACTATAGCTATTTGTGTGTGTGTGTGTTTTGTTTGTTACTACATTTATTTATTTGTGGGGGTAGGTGTGTGCACAGCATACATGTGAGGTCAGAAGACATCTTGTGGGAGTTGTTTCTCTCCTTCTACCATGTGAATCATAGGGATTGAACTCGTTTGTCAGGTTTGGCAGCAGGCACCTGTACCCACTGATCTCTCACCAGCCCTAGACCTGTTTGTTACCAGGTTACAGTCACAGGGCATTGCCCATGGACAGGAATATGGTGGAACAAAATAGAGAGAAGCATGGGAACAAATGAATATATGAGCGCAGATTATTTAGAGATTACATAATACAAATTAGGCTTGACCTAGAATTCCTGTCTAGTTTCACTGTTTTGTCTGTTTTTCTTCAAGCACTGATTTATTGTTACTATTTTGTAAAACATGTTTTGTAGAGCTAGATAATATCTTATTCCTGTTAAGGAATAGAAAAGAGTCAGTGTTAAAGGTTTCATTCTCTCCATAATTAGTATGTTTGTTGTCAATTACAAAAATCCACCAAATGCCCACTGTCACCCCCCCCACACATCCACATAAAAAGTCATCAGAAACTTCCGAGTTGGGACACCAAACCATCTTACATAATGTATGCATTATTCATGTCAGTGGAAGGGAAAGCTTAATGATTGAACGTGTAACAATTAAAAGTTGGCTTTTTCACAACACACACACACACAAACACCCATGTACCAGAGAAAAACTTGAGAGCCCAAATTCACTAGGTCATGACTGCTTATTGTGGAACTGCTTATATACAAGTTATATGTAAGTTAATTTCAAGTTGGGGGGGTAATACTTATACACAAACATGTATATATTGTTTCCTAATGAATTGTTGGTAGGGTTTTTTGGAGATTTTTTTTTTTTTTTTTTTTTTTTTTTAGAGACAGGGTCTCCCTCTTTAACCCCAACCTTCTGTGGCCTAGAACTTGCTATGTAGACCAAGCTGTATGGAACTCACAGAGATTCCCCACCTATGCCCAGTGAATGTTGTATACAGTATACCTTGTTCATATCCACCCTTAACTCCTTCAGCTTTTTTTTTTTTATCATTTTTATTTTATGTGTATGCATGTATTGCCTGCATGTAGGTAAATGCACCCATGTCGTGCAATGCCCGCGGAGGTCAGAAGAGGCTGTCAGATCCCCTGGAACAGGAGTTATGGACAGTTGTTAACTGCCATGTGGGTACTGGAGAGATGGTGGTTAAGAACACTGGTTGTTCTTACAAACAACCTGGGTTTGAATCTCAGCTTTTGTTTTTACAAAAAAAAAATTTCTTTAAGAGATAATTAGAACAAAACATAGATAAATGCACATCTAAAAACTTTGATGGAAAACAATTTTCTTACAAACTGAAGACTTAAAAGTAATCCACACATGGCAGTACGTGCCTGTAACTAATATTTGGGGCCTGAGACAGGAGAATCACCATAAGTGTGAGGCTGTCCTAATCTGCTTAGCAAGTTCTAGGCTAGCCTGATCTACAGAGCATGACCCCCCAAAAAATAGGTTTTTAAATTTATTTTTATTTGGTATTTTGAGACAAGGTCTCACCATATAGCCCAGCTGACTGGGAACTCACAGTGTAAACCAGGATGGCCTCAAACTCCCAAAGATCCATCCACCTGCCTCTGCCTTCTGACTAACGGAATTAAAGGCTTACACAACCACACCTGGCCCAAAACATAAATTAATAGATAAAAATAAAGGGAAAAAAACAGACTAATAGTATAATTATGAGGGGCTGGAGAGATGGTTAAGAGCACTGGCTGTTCTTGCAGGGAACCAGGGTTTAGTTCCCAGCACCCTCATGGTGGCAAGCAACCTTCTATAACTCCACTTCAGGAGATCCAATGCCCCTTCTGCCCTCCATGGACATTGCCCAACATGGATGCATTTATAGGCAGGCAAAACATTCATACACACAAAATAAAAATAAATAGGGGCCTGGAAAGATGGCTCAGTGGTTCAGAGCACCAGCTGTTCTTCCAGAGGACCCAGGTTCAATTCCTAGTACCCACATGGTGACTAATAACCTTAATATGAGTTCATAATAAAAGTTTAGTATCATTCAAAAAAGTTCCATGATCCAATTAAAATACCCATTAAAGAGAAACTATCAACATTTCCCAGGAAGTTTTGCCAATAGTCAGACAAGTATTTTACATGTCTGTACACATAATGTGTACATTTCCTCTTTTAAAATTAGAGCTTATGCTTATGGGTAGTTTTAGATAGTAAAGTACAGTTGATCTCATTATTCAATGTGGCTATATTCTATGAAGTAGACGTGAGCCTTATTTTATGTGTGTTTCTGTTTAAAGATGCCTTATCTATTTAATTGTTGATTCCTTCACTCTGAGCTCCTGGCCCACAGCCTTACAATGAAGCTTCTCTAATCAGGTTTTCTCATAAGGATATCATAGCCTTTTAGAATACCAGAAAGTATTTGAACAGTACACTTTAAATAGCAGAATCACTAACAAAAAGCACAAAATTGTGAAACAGTGTCCATAGAAAGGACATTTGTTTAAAGAACAGTGGAGTGGCCTCTCCGTCCTCAGCCTAGAACATCCATGACAGGTAACTCTGTTCTTCACCATTCTGTGCATGCATGATTCTTTTGAAGGATGCATGAATGGAGGGAGGGATAGATGTTGATTTTGGAGTCAAAAATTGTAGCAACGGGGTAAATTTGCAGATAGAGAATTCATAAGTATTGTTGAGTCACATGTAAATACTTTCACATATCACTTTTTTCCCAAAGATGTTGTATGTGCTACTGATCATCATGATATTAAATTTGGGTTTTTTATTTGTTTTTTAACTCCTAGGTTAAGTTAAAATACAAATATAAAGCAAGAATCTTTCTGGAGGAAAGCCTTTCATTTGGTGTCCTTGGGGAGCATGGCCGGGGAGTCACAGAGCACTATGGAATCAGTGTAAGTTCTCCATCTAGAAAGTTCCCTCCTGTAGGAAACCTATGGTTCTGTTCTGCTGGATGTATTTTCATAGGAGCAAGACATGCCCTGCATCCACTTGGAGGCTCTACAGGCTTAGATGTCTGGATCTGGTCAGCCCAGTCAGGGACCCAGTCTTCTCTTTGAATATTTTATTCCATTTAAAAAGAAATAGGGTGTTTTGAAACTTGGATTTTCATTGTCTCATCTAGAAACAATTAGGTTATTTGTTACATTTATTAAAATTTTTAAGACTTTTCTTAGTAGCTGGGTGTGGGTGGCACATTCCCATAATCCCAGCACTTGGGAAACTGAGGCAGGAAAACTACAAGTTTGAGGCTTTCCTGAGCTACCATAGTATATCCTGCCCACCCCTACCCTCAAAATAAACATTCCATTCATCCTTTTATATGAAATCTTTAGTACTTAAAATTCTATATGTAATTTGTAGGAATAGATACAGTTATGCCATATATATATATATGTATATGAGTTTGTATATGGGTAGGTATATATATCTTATATATACTTTCTACACATACATATGCATGGTGTCAGAAACACCACAGGGCATGCAATCAGCAAAGCCACTAAAGGCTTTCAAATAGTTGAAGTAACTGCCCCATTTCCTTCTGCTACAGGAAGATGGAGGCCCCCAAATACCCAGAGGGATGTGCACCTGGCTTTGCTGACCACCATGGGGTAGATGGGCAGTGCACTTTCACTCCAGAATGCATGAATGACAGGCTGTGTTGCCTGTGTTATGAAGCTGATAGAGTGTAAAATCCCCATAGCTCTCTGCATCCCAGCACTACCGCGTCTACAGGAAAGTGTAGACTACACAATAATGTCTTGTGAAGTTGGAGAGAGGCTCACTCACCCAAGCCAGGCTGACATCAGCCCATTGATTATAGTGAAGAATTAAAGATGGGTGAAACGTAACTAAGGCGTGGAAGTTGTGAGGAGGAAAACCACCATCTTCACTGCCGTTTCTACCTGCTCGTGGCAGTTGTGGCTGAGGTGATCTTCAGTGGCCTGACAGAGACTGGTTTTCTGTCTTTCCTAATGTTGAGGAATGACTGGTGTCCATTTTTCTGGCAGATTGATGACATTGACCTTATCAGTGCCAACATGGAGAATGCTCTGGCATCTGTTGGAGGCTTCTGCTGTGGCAGGTCTTTTGTGATTGACCACCAGATAAGCTCTTCTTAAAATGAAGCAAATTCTCAAACAGATGGTTGCCATGGTCACTTCAAGTGCAAACGTCTGAATACAAATTTAACACACAATTGATCACAAAGTTTCTAGTTCAAAGTTTTCTTTTTAAGGATAACTCAAGCCAGGCATGGTGGCATGCATCCTGAATCCCACCTCTTAAGAGGCAGAGACAGGCAGATCTCTGTGAGATTTAGCCTGGTCTACATAGTGGGTTCTAGAACTACAGGGGAACCCTATCTCAACTTCCCACCCCCCAAAAAAGGATAACTCAAAATGGTTAAAGATCAGTTCTCTGACTTATCAAAATGTCTTGGTTTTCTTATACGGGTCACAATAGCTCCCCTCATACATGTACACACTGTGCAGTAGGGTATAGACATGTGCCCATCAGTTGTTTGCCCAGGAGACAGAACATCTGTTTCTGACTTGTTTCTCCAGCGACTCTCTGGCCAGGGATACTGCTTCTCAGCTTCCTTACCTCCCCTGCTAGCCGCCGCCGCCATTGAGGCTCTCAACATCATGGAGGAGAATCCAGGTAACCTTGTAACCCAGGTTCTGTGAACCAGGAGACTGACTTGCTTTCTAGGGGAATTACCCCAAGGAACTTATTTGCCAGACAGTACTCTGACTCAGTTACTTTATAAATCAAGTATCCTACAAGTCTGGCAACCTGAGTTTGACCTCCAGATCCCATTTAAAGATGGAAGAAGAGAACTGACTCCACAGAGTTGTCCTCTGACTACCACACATGCACCCACCACCACCTCTACCACCTACACTAGTAATTAAAACTAAATTTTAAAGATTGAAAAAGTAGGCCTTCCCTGACTGGCTTTTCTGGTATCAATTCACAGAATCAGATTTGTCTTGTGTACATGCTTATGCTCCCCGGTGAGGTGGTCTGTGTGCCAACTCCCCCCACGCATAACCTGATCACATTACTTTCACTTTTGCATTTTCCTTCGATAAAAGGAAACTATCCAGAAAGTTACGTTACTACCAAATGGTTTAGAATGAAGAAGAAAGTAGCACATGTGCACTGTAATTCTTAGCTGGAATATATATAGATCTTGATAAGGACAAGAGCCTTCGTTTGGTTCAGAAACCAGCATCCCAGAATTTGCTCACAGCAGGAGCCAGTAGATAAGTGTCAGGGAGGAAGCTCAGGTCCTCAGGTGTGTAAGTTCCTGGACGTCTGCTAGCTAGAAGTGTCTACAGCATTTTCAGCTGGTGATCTCAGCCTTTAAAAGTGTTCTTACGTTAGCACTATCAAATCTTCCAAATATACCATCAAATGTATTTTTTCTATGCAGGCATTTTTGCAGTTTTGAAGGAAAAATGCCAATACATCCACAGAGCTCTCCAGGGGTAAGTGTTGTGGTTTTCACGGCATAAAGTGCACCTGCACCACACTCACCAGCCAGTGAGACCATCTGAGTTTGATGGGCTCTGGGCACTGAGACCATATCACAGCTAAGAAACTCAGTTCATTCACCTTCATCTGCTTAAAACTAGATGGATTTATCATTGTTTTAAAGGATTGTGCCTTTGCTTTTCTAAAAAGTATACAACTTATTAATAACATATTGAAATAATACAGGGGATAGAAATAACCCAGCAGCTCACCACAGGAGATAACCAAGGCGAACACTAGAGTTAAAGAGATAAAGGATACAATGATGTTATGTCATTGGAGGCACCAGTCCCTACTGTCCCTGTTACTTCTACTAAGTTTAAATTAAGATATGACGGGGCTGGAGAGATGGCTCAGTGGTTAAGAACACTGTTCTTGCAGAAGACCCAGGTTCGAATCCCAGCACTGACATGGCAGCTAACAACTGTCTGTAACTCAGTTCCAGGGGACCCAACAGCCTCTTCTGTCCTCCGCGGCATTGCACAACACAGGTGCACTTACCTACATGCAGGCATAACACTCACACGTAAAATAAAAATAGTAACTTTTTTTTTTTTAATTAAGATATGACAAACATGAAGTTGAAGCAATTCATGTGAGTGTTCCTGGTTCTTTAAAAAGCCAAGCTGCACAGTCATTCTCTAAGATTCCTTTGACTTGGAGTTGCGAGGTTGGTGGGATCTTTGAGCTGGTATTTGGACTCACAGAAAATGATCACGCGTTGTTCTAGGTCTTTCCTTTTGATTTCCTAAGGAGAAAGGCACCCCTTCAGTTGTGAAAATTCTGTCTCTCTTTAAGATGTGGAAACTAGACACTTTACTGAACGAGTTGGCAGTTGATAAGTGCGTGGGCTTCAGCTGTTCCAGATAAAACAGGCAGAGACAATGGTATTCTGGGTGTGTCTGTAGGACAGCAGCAGCTCTCTCAGGATGAATGGTAGACGGATGTACTTGCAGTGGTTCCAGTTGCATTGGTCCATGAAATCTCAATTTGCCAACACAACGCAGCACATTGGTGGCCCTGCACATTGGTCAACAATCAGCCTCGGGTGTCCTGGGCTCTGGCTTTTTCTTTAGTCCTGTATTCCAGCTTCTCAGGACCTGTGGAATCTTTCTGCTATCCCCATCCTGTCTCATTCCACCCACTCTCAGTGGATCGCCTCACCTCATGCTGTCAACTCAGGAGCTCCCTGCACGTTCATGGACAGTGAGCCAGTTTCCCTCTGTGACAGAGAAATCTTCCTCCAACCAACATAGGCCTTTCTTTCTTCGTGTGTGTGTGTGGGGGGGGTGATTATCCATGCATGTTTCTGTGCAGGGAAGACAATTCTGGCCAATCGCCAAGTGCTGTCCATCTTATTTTTTGAGACAGGTTTTCATTGGCCTGGAACTTGGCAGTGGGCTCTGCAGACTGGCCAAGCCAGCTCTAGTTAGTACCTTTCTCAGCCTCCGTAGCACTGGCATCACAAGTGTGCACCACCACACCCCTCTTTTTTACATGTTCTGGGGATCCAAACTCAGGTTCTTGTACTTGCAAAGCAAGTACTTCACCAGCCGAGTTATCATGCAACTCACTTTTTCTTTCTAAGGACTCGTGCCCCTCTGCTTTGTCACCAGTCCCTGCCCTTTCCTGGGTCATTGCAGCAGCTCAAGTTCCCTCTGCTCTTGTTTTTCTGTCCTCTTCTCGTGGTCCCATTCTCCTCTCAGCTAGCCCATCTTTGTTTCTCTCTATTGCTATTCTTCTCAAGAGTTGTGCTTGCTCTCTCCTCACCTTCCTCTTGCCGTTCTACATGAAACTGAGCTCTCTTACACTTCATCTAGACTGTAGGTCACCATTGATGACTGTGGTGCTGGATCAAGGGGACCCACTTCAGAGCTCATCTGACTAGTGTCCCATAATTTTCAGCACAGTGACCACCCTGCCTTCCTGTGATTTTGATACATTAATCTCATGGACTTCCTTCTGAATTTTTAAGTTTCTTCATCTTTGTCTTCTTTGTAGCCTTCCTTTGTTTAAAAGATTTTTAATGTGTGTTGAGTGTCTTACCTGCATATATGTATGTGTACCATGTGCGTACAGTGTCCATGGAGGCCAAAAGAAATTATTGGTTCCCCTGCAACTGGAGTTGTGGTTGATTGTGAACCACATTGTGAGTGCTGAGAACCAAACCTGTGTCTTCTCCAAGACCAGCAAGTGTTCTTAACTGCTGAGCCATCTCACCAGCCCACTCTTCCTTCCCTCCTTCCTTCCCTCCCTCCCTCTGTCCTTCCTTCTCTCACTCCCTCCCTCTGTCCCTCTCTCCTTCCTTCCATCCCTCTCTCCTCCCCTCCCCACTTCTTCCCTTCCTTCCTTTCTCTTTTAATAATTTGAAGATTTACTTACTTTTACTTTGTTTTGCATGCGTATATGTGTGTGTGTACCGTGTGTATGCAATCAAGACTTTCTTCACCACTTTTCCTTAACACCCTGCTCTTTAGGGCTTAGCTTCTAATTGCTTCATGATTCTTGTATGTGCACAATTCAAAGATTTTTATGTTTACCTCTGCATGCTTAACAGCTCCACATCTCATGTCACACTTTATCCTCAGAGCTATACTGGGAGGAACCTGGAGGAGCTTCATACACACTGCAAGAGGTGTGGAAAGGAACAGCAGAGAAACAGGAGGCAAGAAGTGAGGGAACCTAGTCGGTGAGGGCCATGAGAAAAACCTAGACTCAGATAGGAAACCATGCATGGTTTGAATGAAAAAGTGGCCTGGCACAGCTGAACTTGCATCTTAACAAATTGCTCCTGTGTGGTGTGAGATAATATATTGTAAAATGATAAGAGCAGAGGCAAGGATACCATTTAGGAGGTGGGTTCAGACAAAAGGTAGCCTGACTGACTTCTGGCTCCATAGTGACCCTGAGAAGTGTTTGGACTCTAGATCTGTTGAAAGGAAAGCCAGCTCTGCCAGAAGTTCATATGCCAGGTGGTGAGGAAGAGAACCGTGCTTATCTGAAGGTTTTTCATCTCAGCGACTAGATGAATTAGTGACTTGGGGGACTCTCTAGAACCATGGAAGAAGCCTGTGGGGTAGAAGTTCAGGGCTTGGTGTGTCAAGTTTTCCCTGCTCCTCCAGTGGAGAGTAACACTTGAATTCCCAGGTTTAAATTCGAGATGGAGAGATGTTTTGAGTCATTAGCCTATGGGTAGTGTTTAAAGCATTTCAGTTTGCAGAGGTCAGGCACTGGCTAAGGAGAATGAGTGGCCAGTGAGGAAGAAGTAGACTTCCAGTTGTGGAGACAGAGGAGGTCAGCATGAGGTCAGAGTGCTTGCTGCCTGCAGGCCAGGTAGAGTATGTGCTGCTGATCCTTTTTTCCCAATATGGATATGATTGTGACCTGAGCACCTCCAGGACTGGGAAGAGAGAATGCACACAGTTTAAGGTGACGCCTTTGAGGGCTTTCTGTAAAGAGAAGCAGAGAAATGGGATGTTGGCTAGAGGAAGAAGTTTGAGTCAACAAAAGATGAGTAAGGTCCATTCTGAATAACATCCAAACCGTCTATGACTGGGAAAGGTGTCGAAACAGGGTTAGTTCCCATCAGTTTCCCACATGTTCATAGGTCTTTTTTTTTTTAATTATTTATTCAATAACCACATACTTAGAAGAAGCATTTCACTGTATCAGCATTGACATATTCCATAACAATTTTCTGAGCTAGGATGCATCTCTTACAAAATTGGCTGTACATTTTCAGGTTTACAGTTGAATTATTACAGTTATACAATATTGTACTCAGTATAAACCCTATAAGACGTAAAATTAAATGAGGTTTTAACCTTTAAAAAATATCTCCATTTCATTATTAAAATACAGATTTTCATACAGAAAAATTCATTTTTAATGCAATTGACATTAAGATGTTTGCATATACATTTCTAATCTATATATATCAGAACATTATTAGTCACAGTTACTTTCTGAGCTCCTTGGCATCTGAGCATGGATATAAAGTCATCAGGTAGATTTCAGTGATAATGCTTTTCACATCTGCTAATTATTAAGGAGCACATTTTTATGTTTTGAAGAATTATTTTTTAATCATTATTATTTTCTAATTTTTAATAACTACATGATTAGAAGCTTTTCACTACAGCTTTAACATATTCAGTAACACACTCCAGAACAACAGTACATCTCTTTCACAAGTGGGTGCAAGTTTCTAGGTTCACAGTTGAATTAATATAGTTATATATTATTAAACTCAGTATAAGCCCTGTAAGACATAAAATTGAAAACTCATCCCTCTGGGTTTTTTTAACACTAGCTAGGCATTATTTCTCTCCTCTCTCTCTCACCT